ACCTATCTACCTACATATAGAAATGTTTATATATATACATTTGATAACTCATGTACAAATGAAATTTTATATGTAAGTACATGTAGTATAACAAAACATATTTATATAGTTTAAATTCATTTTACACATATTTAATGTAGAAAAAATACTTATAAAACTGAAATATACAATTACACACTCTAAATAAATCTTTATTTTAAAGACATTTTCGTATTCTTTATAGGCGGCTTTATGTTTTTAATATACATGAATAAACGTAAATGATAGATCTTATAGAGAAAATCATATAGAATTAATAAACAGTTTGAATACAATTATAGTCACCCATATTTCACATTTTCATAATACTCGTATGGGACCACGAAGAAGAACACGCTAATTCATGAATTTTTTAATCTATAATCCTAAAATTTATTTCAAATTTAGGATTATGTATTTTATTTTATATGAAATTTAAATTTCTCCATATAATATATATATTTATGTATGAAGTCAATTAAATCATATGTTTGATTTTTGAAATATTAATTATATATTATTTTATGTCACATTTAATGCTAGTTTTGTGGGTACATAATTGAAATTTGTGGTTGTTTTATGGTAGCGCTAACCGCTTTTAACCTATTTATGGTATCGTTAACCGGGGTGTTATTGTATATACATACATATTATGTTATACATTAATTTTTTTAATATGCGCCTAAATTTATGCAAATATTTTTTTTAATGGTAAAAAATATAAAATCAAAGTTTTATTTTAAAAGTTTTAAATATTAACAATTAAGAAATTTTATAAAATAAATATAGCACGTTCATTTTTCAAAATTACCAAAATATTAAATCCGATAATGACAGATATTAAATTGTATATGGCACAAAAAAAAAAAAAAAAGAGTCAATAAAATATGACTTTTTGTTTTAGGTTTTCTTTTTAAATTTTATATACCTGCTTACATAATCTGGCACAAGCACAACGAAAAACTATATAGTCAGATTATAATCTAGTGAGGTTTTGATCTACTTATATATTTCTTTATATGTTTGCAATATGATACTATGATATTATATATTCTTTGAATACATATAAATACCACATTATTTACACATTAAATTTTAATGTATATATCTTACAATTTATCTTATAACTGCAGACAAAATAATATATGTTACATACTTTAACGAAATATTATATTAAATCTATATATACATACACATTACACAATATGATGACAAAAACAACAAAAATGGTCTGTGACATTAAGAGAGCTGGCTATTCGATAATATATTTATCATTGTCTTTTAAATCCAGAAAAAAAAACATCTATAAAATGAAAGAGAACTTAATGATCTACTCTTAAAAAAAAAAATTAAATACATATATTAATATTATGCTGGTATATGTATACTAACTATATACATAAATTTTTATTTGTTACAAAAAATGATTCTGAGAAAATGTTGAGAAATTCATAACTGGAAATATGACATAATAATAGTCATTATTAATTAAAATATTAAATTAATCAAAATTAACAAATTAGAAGAAAAAAATTTCAATTGAAAAATAAGACCATAAATTTTAATGTCATCCAATAATTTCTTAAGTCATGTCCAATATCCATATTACAAAACATAATTTGATATTGTATATAATATAGTAATTTAAAAATAAAATAAGCATCTCTTATTTTTAAGTAAAGTAATCATTTTAATCAAGAATGCAGATGGAAAAATTACATTACAAAGAAAATAATTTTTTGTTATAAAAGGATGCAAGTATGAAATAACATAAAATGAAATATGTATATACAAAATTTTCAAAAAAATAAAAAAGAAAAAGACAAATATGAACTGAGCATGAAATAAAATTTTCAATCAGCAAACATATTGTTGAAACATAAATATTAAGAATGCAGGGATGTTAAAATTGATTCCAACTATTTCAGATAAAATTCGAGAACGCAGTACATCTAGCATCGCATCAGTTTTTAAAATTTAAAAAGGTTAAAACAAAGTTTAAAATTTTTCTTTTGCATCATAATTGCATCTGATGCGCGATTTTAAGGAAAGTACAAATCTTAAAAAATTGCAGTGTTTTCTAGCATCGCAGCCTTTAGGTGCTATCAAAACGTGTTTCTTGTTTTTATTATAAGTGAATTATACACACACATGGATTTATCAACTGACTACAATGACAATTCTCGGGCGTGTCATTGGTAAAATTTTTATATATTTGACATAAACATATTTCATTCTTTTATTAGATTTTTTGCGTATAATTTATCCTATTAAAATTCAATAGTTGGCACTCAAGTTAGATGTTATGAAAATTAACCAAATCTCATTGTTAATTAATTTAATATTATTCACCTATGGGCATTTTCACATATTTCTATTTGATTTTTGATTAAATTTTGAAGATACTAACATTTTCTCTTCTATATTCTTTTTAAGTACTAAAAAAAATTGTATGTAAAAAATTGAATGGAACACCTCTGGATTCTAATACGCATACATATCTATAATATACAGAATTTATCGGTATGTTTGAGCTATTAAACACGTACTACACATGTGCGTTAACAAAAAAAAATTAAAGAAAAAAATTTAAAGTGACATACATAATATTTTTAAAAAACTTAAATTTTATATTTTTTAATCTTTATACATAATTTTATATTAGAAACTAATCCATTTTATTTTTTTTTTAATATCCATGAAGATATTTACATGGTTTTTTTCATAAGAAGTGAAAACAAAATTATATTGAATTCATAATATAAACTAAGTGTGTAGTAGTGAAAAACAGGTAGTGATTCCGCGTTTTTGAAAACAAAAAATACAGTAAACCAAAGTCAAAGTATTGGATTTGAAATTTTACGCAATTTTCTCAACTTTTTTAATATATACTATGTACCAAGGAATGGTTGCTTGTGACTCTATATAGTAAACATTAATAGGTCTCCATGGTGTAGTGCTGCGACTCGTATAATCTAAAATTTGCATTTAAAAAATTCATGAAGTACTTTTTAGAAAAAAAAAAACAAAATAAAATACTAATTATCTGAGCTATCACATAGCCGGCATATTCAGTATTTTCGAAACGATAGCTTTAAGGTGGTACTGAAATGCTAATTTTTACTTCATTCAAAACAATTTTAACATATTGTTAAAGATACTGACAATTCGTCAGAGATCTGCGGAATGGGATATAAACTCGCTTATGTTGTTCACCTATATTATTAATTAACAGCCTGATCGTTTATTTGGCATTGTTAGTCACTTTCAAATCAGAATTCCCAATATTTTCAATTGGATGTTTGACTTTTCCAACAAGATTACTCATTTTGTTAATTGGATTTTTGCATTTTTTCTCAAATTATCGACTGAACGTCTCAATTTCAAAAATAAAGTGAATAAATTTTGTATTCATTTTAGAAAAAAAACAAGATACGCAATACTAAATAGTTCTTCTCGAAAATTACATTATACAAGTATGTGATAGTTACTCACTTTCTTTTCACTTTCCAAGTAAAACAGCGAGATATATGATCAGGCCCTAAATAAAATAAAACAGAAACGACAACCCTTTAAAATATAATAAATTATAACAAAATTTTGAAAACATCAACTCTTTTTAGGTTTTTTTTTAGTGTATTATTACTTTCAATTTTTCTTTACTTCAAAAAATTTTTTTTTTTTGTTACTTATACAACTACATATAAAGTATGTATACAGAGAAGCGAGCGCCAATGTGCACAGGTAAAAATTCATGTATTCTCTCTTTATTTCATTCAATGTTTTGTTTTTATTTTATGAGAGATATTTAAGAACAATATGAAAGATACTATCTAATCAGTGCTGTTTACACAAAATTATTAGAAAAATGTGCTTAAGGCGTTCAGTATCCATTGAAATATTAAAATCATGTCCCGTTACAAAAAAATCGATTAGCAAGGAATTCCTAGCGGCCTTACTCTCTCAACCAGGGTTTCGATATTGAGGGATTCTTCCCATTTTATATGGGAATTTGAATAAAGAAAAAGTTAAAACGGGACATGGGAATTCAAATATAATATAAAGAAATTTTTATAAATCACGATAACTTCATTATTCGCACTGTACTAACTGACTGGATATCGAATATTTAGAATCGAACAAATTACAGAACAAAATTTTTGAGGGGACTCCACCTGATATATTTTGCATATTTGCAAACGTTTATGGAATTTTTCTACTGTAATTATATTTTGTATGGAAATAATTTTCATCGTCAATTTTATTACGTCAAGTTTTAGCTGCTAGCCTTATGATTTGTCGCATGTCTTTTTATTTTTATTGTCGAATTTTGATGGTTGATTTTCACGTTTCGTGAATCTCGGAATATTTGTGGGAAAATCTAAATTAAACATTGTATGTTCCACCAGTTTTAGGAATCTTAATATCGCAAGACTGCTATCCACTGATACAAACAATTGCTTATTTATATATATTTATCCCTTATTTACACACGTTCTTGTAATTTATTTTAGTACTTTTTTTAATAGTTCCTTTATTTTTCAATAGGTACTGAACAGATTACCACTGAATTCACCTGCATATGAACTTATAATAAAATGTAAGTATCTATAGACTTACATTGAATACCATATAGGTATTTAGAAAAACAAAAAAAGAAGAAAAAAACCCAGCATGATGAAAAAATAAAAAGAAAAATAAAGATTTTTTCTGTTATATTAGTTTTTTTTTTCTTTTTTTTTTTTGTATAAGTCATCTATTTCGTGTGAATAGAGAGACACCACAGAGTTGAGTTTATAATCAGAAAAGCTTTAGTATACCGTGTTAGCTCGATTTGTGTGTGTCTCGGGTACCTGGGTATTTTCTTAAAAAAAAAAAATAATAAAGTAAAGCAAAATAAACAAAAAGAAAAAAAAAAAGAGAACATAATAGAAAAAAAAAATCAACACTGAGAAAAAAAAAACAACAAAAAATAAGTAAATCGCAAAATCAGTTAAAAATCAAAAAAAAAAAAAAATAATTTTTTTTTTTTCAATTAACAGTAAAAAAAAAAAAATAATGACTGTTAATGTTTCTTTTTTGTTTTTTATGAAAAGTTAAAATTTTTCGAAAAAAAAAGGACAGAAAAAATATTTGGTAAAAATCTTAATCAAATTTATTTTATTTTATTTTTTCTTTTCATCTGCTGCAGCATATAGCAATAATTTCTCATTCACACAAATTTTTTAACCTCAAAAAATTCGACATCGCAACTTCGAATTCGCAGTAAATTTAGAAGAATTTACGGTTGTCGTTATATTTCATGTAAGAGTATTTGAACTCCTATTCTGTGCTACGTGCTATTTAATGTACTCCGTATCAGTATTTAAAATATATGCAGTTTTCTTAATATTTACAGAATATATATTTTGATAGCTACTTTGTAGAAGCCAGAAATGCAATTTTCAAAGTATTTAAATATAAAGTAAAAAATTAATGCAGTAGAACAGACGCTTATATGCAAACCATTGTGGGTAGAACTTTTTCGTAACGCATATATCCGTATTGTGCAGTTTGATTCATTTTCAAGTTGATTAAAAAATCAGATGTGGGTCAAAAAAAATGCAATGCACATAAAAGAGTTTTGTTCATATGGGCGTTGCAAATAAGTGTGTTCGTCTGTATAGACTTTTCATTAAGGATTTAGTGTAAAATTTTCTAATAAAATACTATAACTTCCAATATACCTTATTTAATATTAATCAATACCCGAAATAGACTAAAATTTTCTTTCAAATATTATTTTTCTTCTTGATAAAACTGGAAATACAACATTGTTTGTCTACTTTATCGTATAATTTTTTTTAATAAAATATCATTTACTTATATTTTTTTTTTCATTGTGGTTCTATTTCCGGTTGTTTTTGTTTTTATATTGATTTTCTGTCTTGTTATATCTGTTGTCTGATGAATTTTGTTTAAATTGTGTATATTAACGAATTTGAATGGCCTGTAAGTGTATTTCCTTCGAAATTACTCCGTTTTTAATTAAAGAAAAACGCCTCTTCCATAATAAATCAGACGAACGACGGCAGCCCTGATGATTCAGATTAAAAAATTGTCGTCTCAAAAAAAAAAGGAATATTAAAATCAAAGAAGGAAAAAATTTTTTATAAATAAAGCAAGAAAAAGAAGAGAAACAAAATATTAGGTAGAAAACTTCGAAAAAAGTGATTAATTTCAAAAAAAGAAAACTTGCTTTAACAATAATAAAGTAGTCACAAAAATATTAAGAAATTCGAGAAGAATTAAAGAAAAAAATTTATGAAAAATGAAAGAAAAAAATCTTAGAACACGCGCAAAATAACAAAAAGAATAAAAAAAATTAATTTTTCTAAAGTTTTCTATAATTTTTCCAAAACTTTGCGGGTAACCCTATTATTACAAAATTTTTTCAAAAAGAAACAGGGAAGGCACAAAAAAAAAAAAAAGAAACTATGTAAAAAGGAATGTCGTTATAGGAGGTTTTTTTTTCTTTTTCATCTGATTTGCCCGTATCATCTCTTCACCTCATCGCTTATGTTAGATAGGTTCTTTATTTTTCAAATAGTTATTTCGTACAATTAGCCGCTAATATATTAGCGTCTAATAGTTATTTAATACAATTAGACGGTAGGTGACGGCCACCAATCGCAAATCGCACCGCTCTAATCCAACTCTTTTCTTTTATATACTCTTTTTAAAACGAAAGAAAACCCTTTCAAAACTACCCATTCTATTTATGGATATAATATTTTTTAATTATTATTATTATGTGTTTTAAACCGATTACATTTAAACGGGGCGCGGTGTACATATATATGTTTTTGAAAGGAAATAAAACCAACTCCCACCAGAATGAAAAAAATGTAAGTAAATAACATTTCATTAATAAAATTATTTCGTAAATTAGACAAACAAGAGTTGTATTATAAGTTTTTTTTTTTTTTCAAGAAGAAAAAAAATATTTGCAAGAAAACGTGTATTAGAAATTATAGTATTTTATTAGAAAATTTTACATTAAATCTTAATTAAATCTGCATTATATTAATCTTCTTTATGAGCTACACTTTGAAAATTATACTTCTAGCTTCTATTATAAACCTTCATTTTAATTTGTTTCTCTACATAAGATAATTTATTGTCCTCTATGATCACATGTCATCAAATTTATACATTTATTATTAAGATGTGTCCGAAAATGAAAATAAATATAACAACTTTTTTCTTTCCTTATAAGTTAATACGTATAACATTAAGTTGTATATGATATATACATACATTTTGATATATACGGAAAACAATTATTGTATCTTCCAGTATTTCATATTAATAGTAATAACAATAAATCTAGTATGTGCTTATAACTCTGGATTAGAATATATAATATACAGCAATTTTGGATACACAGTAAAATCATTTTTTTATAAATCTTGTTTATAATAAAAAATAAATAAATATGTATATACAAATGTCAAAATTTGATTAGAAATTTTTAAAAAAGGATTACGATAACAACAACAACAAAAAAAAATTCAATTGTGTAAAAAATTGAAAGTTAAAAAATTTTATATACATATAAGAAATTATTAAGAGCCTTAAACCAAAATAAAAATAAATGTAGACTTTAAGAATTATTTCACTTGTTTCCCAATTCAAAGATTCAAATGATGATTTTATAAGGTTTATAAAGTCGAATAATAGACTAGCAAATCTCTAATTTTGTTAGCAATCTCTATTTTTTCTTAGTAAATTTTGTAAATTCTATAAAATCTCCCCGTTTCCACAATAGAATTCATGTTTATTCAAAATGATTCATTTTGTTAATTGAATTTAAATGGAGAGTTAAATTTTTATAATATTTTTTTTTTTAATATTATGTGGGTTATAATACAAAACAAATTATTGCCGAATATACAACATTTAGGCTACCACATATAAGATACATCAAATAATTTTTTTTTTCAATTTAATTCTATATTTTTATTAAAAATTCCATTATCCGGAAGAAGGAGGAGGAAAGAATTTTTCAATAATTGATATTTTGTTTTTGCCTTGGATATTTTTTGATATTTTTTTTCTCGTGATTCTGGCGGCGTTGAAGCGCAAGAACTTGAAATTTCCTATATTTAATTTAAGTGTAAAATATCAAAAAAATGTATGTATTTCTTAGTTTTATATTTTTTCGATATTTTGGATTTTAATACCAAAATTTCGCTGTTTGATTTTAAGATTTATCAAAATTATTGAAATATTGATTGGGCTACATCAAATTTACATACTACGTACAAGAAAATTTAATGTTCTTAAAAAATTTTTAAATTGTTATTTGCTTTAAACACTACACCTTGCCCTCCCCCACCCGCTCCATTTTCATTTTATTGTTATTATTATTATTATTGATGTTGTTATTATTATTGTATTTTAATATTGTTTAATAAAAAAAAGGACGTAATTCTTAAAGTCCTTCAAATAAGAAAGTATAGTCCTCTATATTTCCACTAGAGTCTTTTATACAAGTATATATATACACAAGATACAAGGCTTATGATGGCTTATTAACCATCATGCATACATACGTAAATAAATGCCAATACATACACATATATAGAAAGCAATAGAAAAAAATATAATATAAAAATGTGTAAATTCTACAAACAACTTTAAAAATTAAAATCGATTTCAAAAATATTAATCGTGTAATAATCGTATAACATCGTATAATATCGTATAATAATCGAAACTAAAAAATACAATACATTTTTTTAGTTGCCAAAAAATTTTATAATAATTAAAAAAATCTGAATGGACCTCCCTAATCAATTTTATGCATATAATTTCATAAAATACATTATTCTCTTGAATATAATGCTGTTGGAGCCTTTCGGAACTTAGTTTATGCCGAATTGGGGGCCCTACATTAATTTTAATAGCATGTTTGCAAATATTTTGATGATAAATTTCTTGATTAAAAGTTTTTAAATTGTAAGATGCTGGTTCCACTAGCCATTCATTTTGTTCGGTTAAATCCTTTTTTAATGTTCTCCTTTACATGGGTCCATTGCAAGAATTTTGTTTTTCAAAAGCTGTGATAGAACCATATAGTTGAATTATTTGTCCGTATCTCGCTAAAGAATATGCAAATTGATATGCAACTCTTGATAAATTGAACATGTGCATGGAATACGGAGACATTCTGCATAACACGTTCACAGGATTTTTTGGTTGATTTAATCATATCTGTCCGTATATATACTTCTTTTATAGAGTAAGTCTATTACACAGTTTACTTACAGAAGTATAAATTTGGGTAAGAAAAAGATGAGGTTATTTTAGTACCTTCTGTAAAGCAAAATTTTTAAACACTGTTTTTATATTTCGATAACTTTTGCTTAAATTCAGAGGATTTGATCGTTTTATTGAATTGTCTTTCATAAGATTGAGTCTATTAGTTGCTTTTCTTTGTTTTTTTCTAATCTAGAATATAGATTTAACTTTTAGTCATTAAAATGATTTAACAATAAATATCATGTATGCATGCGTCTTCAAACGTGCCCACGTATTCTAGTATGTTTATTTGGTTCATACCTAATACGTAAAACTTGGAAATTCTGAAGCTTTAACTAAGGTTCAAAAGAAATTTTTGATAGGTTCAAATGTTTTTTTTTGTTTATAAAAAAGAAATTAATCAAAAAAGCAAAATCAAAGTAAAATATTATTGTACATGTACGTATATATAAAGTACAAAAGAGAGAAAAATGGATGGCAAAATTATTTAAGAGATACGCAGTATATAGAATATTGGTATGGCCCATCAGCCCCGAAGAGAAAAGGAATTTTTTCAGAATACTCGTCGTAGTTACTTATGTTTTAGTAGTATGCAATAACAAAATTTTAACAAGGCAACATGTATGGAAGTATGTACGAATATGTTACGTACTTAAAATCACACGCGCGCACATATTTCTGTATGTATTAGTTAAAGAGTATTGTACACTAGTGAGAGAATTGCCAAATATGCGATAATTACCCAAAATTGCGATATACAATTTTGGTTAAAACATTCTTACTGGGTAAAATATTCGGTAAATTCATATTTTGAATATAATTTCGGCCAA